ACAGATGAATGATATCTTTCCTGGTTATTAATTATTGGACCTCAGTCTTTTTCCCTTTGGATTTTATAAATGTTGTTCATCTTTTAACTACTAATGCTACCGATAAAATGTTTGAAGCTAATTCATTCTATTTCCATTGTAAATAACCTTTTCTTTGAATCTCGAAACTTTAAGACTTGTGTTTATCCTTGGAATTCAAGGATTTCACTAAAATGTGTCTAGATGTGTGTTCTAACATTAACCCTGCCTAGGACTATTACTTCTCTGTTTCTTTTTTCCCTACATAAATCCTTTTATTTTCATGTTATGCCTTCTGTATCTGCTTTCTAACTTTACTTCTATATGTAATTCTGTCCTATGTGGTGAGGTATTTCTTGAGTTTCCAAACTCAGCTCAAAAAATACCATGCATACTGTTATCTTTATTTAATTTTTTCAATCAAAAGTCAAATTTGTTTGCTCATTTCCAGAAGAGTGTTTTAGTCACTGATTGCATCTCCTTGAAAGTTTCTATTTTTTTTAAAGTCGTGTTTAGTCTTTTCCAACACAGTGGGATCCAATTGTTTTGGTATTTGGCTTGCTCTTCCTCCATTGGGGTACTGAGTCCCCTTTAAGTGAGTTATTATTTTTCTCTTAACTTAATGACTTATGTTACCTTAGCTTATATTAACTATACAATAATAGTAAACCAGTAAGTGATGAAAGAAATATCATTTTCTGCTCTTGAGGTCAGGCCACGTACACCTAGAAATTCATGACTTCTTTGCTAAGTAGAGGGTAGAGGACCCTCTGTTGCCAGACCTCCTGTCATGGATTGAATTGTGTCCCCCAAAAAATCTGTCAACTTGGCTAGGTCATGATTTCAGTATTGTAAGATAGTCTACCATTGTGTCATCTGATGTGATTTCCCTATGTGTTGTAAATTCTATCACTATGATGTTAATGAGATGGATTAGCGGCAGTTATATTGATGAGATCTATAAGATTAGATAGTGTCTTAAGCCAATCTTTTCTGAGGTATAAAAGAGAGAAGACAACAGAGAGACAAGCGGACCTCATACCACCAAGAAAGCAGCACCAGGAACAGAGCATGTCCTTTGGACCTGAGGTTCCTGCACGAAGAAGCTCCTAAACCAAGGGAAGACTGATGACAAGGACCTTCCTCCAGAGCCAACAGAGAGAGAAAGCCTTCCCCTGGAGCTGGCACCCTGAATTTGGACTTGTAGCCTACTAGGCTATGAGAGAATAAATTTCTCTTTATTAAAGCCATCCACTTGTGGTATTTCTGTTATAGGAGCACTGGATGACTAAGACACCTCCTCAGAAGCACACTTAAGTCCTAACTAAGGTGATGGATCAAATCAGCCCACTTACGCAGTGTTTTTCCAGATCCCTAACCAAATCAGAAAGATACTGTGAGTACCACATAAAAGGAGGCAGGCAGACACGGCCCTTCTTTGAGGGGGGTTCACTGGAGTCTGTCAACTAAAGTCTTCTAGGAACCACAAAATACTGGCTCTTGACAGCCAAACAATGAGGAGAAATAAGTACACCTCTCTATCTCTGGTCTCTTGGCCTTTTCTTGCTTCCAAGAATGAATCACCCATAAATCCCCTCCATCCAAGGGGCCCTGGCCTTGGATACATCCTCCAGGTTTCACCAACTGGCCTTCTCAGGCTATTATAACACCCTGAAGTAAGAGTTTGAAAGGAGAGGAAGTCAGTGATGTGTGCTAAAGTTCCCATGTGCCCAGAATTTCTCCTTGATTTTACTTAAAATAAATAAAAGTCTTCCTTCCAACCTTTGAGCTACAATAACATTTTCTCTAGTAATTCATCTCATGAACTAAAAGTCAAAAGACCAAAACTTAGTTAACTGTTTCAATTGCTTTCACACACACATTTGCAAAATAGCAAAACACATACGTGGGAATACATTGATTTGGTCTACAAACAATGCTAGGTATGCTTATGTATAAACCTCAAGTCAGTAGGTTCAGAACTGTTGCTCTGTATGAACTGCCTACCCCCATTTAAACTACTCATTTGTAGGCTAAAATAGCTGTGAGTCACTACCTACCTTTGCTCACATCATTACATCATTCCCTCCACCTGCAAAGCTATTCATCTCCATCTGTCTTTGTTCTACTCTTCCTCTTGCTACAGTGGTCATCCTATCTAAAGTAGGCCCAACCCCCCATAAATCTCTCTCCCATTGTGTGGAAAAAAGCAAATCCCACTTCTCTGACACAAAACTGTTGATCGATCCAAATGAATTTATTATCAATTCTGTTCCCCTCTGTTCCACTTCTAACACCCTTCTTCCTCCAATTCTAATCACCAGAGGTATGGTCAGATCTCAAAAGTTAAAGGGTATAGTCCTCCAGACAGTCAAGTCTGACCAAGACCTCAGAGGCCAGCTACAAGCTTGGGAATCCCCCAAACACACTCATTTCCGACTTGCTGACTACAAATTCAGGATTTTCCTTCTACTCCTTCAGGATGCCAGGGCCACCCTCACTTCCAACTTGCTGGCTTCCACTACTCTCCTGGGTTCGACAATTCACTAGAAAGACTCACAGAACTCACAGAAAGTGCTATACTTATGACTACAGTTTTATTATAGGAAAAAGGATACAAATGAAGACATGCAAGAAACAAGGCCTGGGAGGGTTTCCAACGTAAAGTGTCCATGTCCCAAAGGACACACTACCCTCCCACATATATCGATGTCTTTCGCCAACCAGGAAGCTCCTGAAGCTTCCATCCAGAGCCTTCACTGGGGCCTCATGACATCGGCATGATTGACTGAATCATGCTCCCCGTCCCCCTGTGGTAGGTTGATACCACCTAGTGGTGTTTCTGGCCTGACCAGCCAAGATGTACCTCATTAGCATAAACCCACAGATGTGATCGGAAAGCCTCATCAAAGACACTTCAATCACTGGGGAAATTCCAGAGCTCTAGACACTATCTTTCAGAAACCAAGAACAAAGACAAAATTTTGGGGGTAAAGTTAAATTCTTTATCCCACACCCTTCAACTGCTTTTCTTTTTGCCTATAACATGTATAGCTTTATGGAATTATATTACATGTGTGTGTTTGTTGTCTGTCTCCTCCACTAGACCATAAGCTCTATGAGAGCATGAAATTGGTCTTTTTATTACTACATACTCAGGGCCTAGAATAGTACCTGTCAAAGAGTAGGCACTCAATTCATATTTGTTGAATGAATGAATCCGTCCAAACAGTCTTTGATGAAGCAGACTTTTTTTTTAAAATTAATTTAAATGCCTAAAGGAAGGGTAGCTTCTTTCCAAATGCCTACAGGTAGGGTATCTACTTTCCAGTTTGTTTCAGGATCCAGCAAACCTTATCTTATATCGAAACGATTCACAAATTCTTTTACCTACTTGGCCCCAATAGGCATCTGAGTTTTTAACTCTTGATTTGAAGCATATCTTAAGTCTCATCTCCTAGGTGAAGCCTTCTTCAATTGCCCCACACCTTGGTGATCTTCCTGCATCCCTGTTTATATGGTCACCATTCATCCATCACCCAAGCTAGAAATCTGGGTGTCCTCGTTATTTATTATTCTTTTCCTACAGCTTCTACTAACTCTCTGTGCATATGCTAAGTGCCCATAACAGTACCGAACACAAAATAAGTAATCAATAAAAGTTTGTTGAATTAATGAGCGAAATAAAAATGAAAAATTAGTTTACGTTCTGTCTCCTCTAACTAGATTATAAATTCCTTAAGGGCAGAAACCTCATGATAGAACTGTTACTATCCACTGTAATTTATATTTATATATATTTTTTTAAACACAAGTTTATTGATTTAGGAATGAAGAGGATGATGATACTGATATAATATAGTGATTGCTGCCTGTGTTGAAGAGAAACCAATACAAGGAGCTCAGATTTCTTCCTCCTGCTTTAAAAAAGTAAGTTCAGCATCCAGGTCAATCTTGCCTACCATCCTGTGCCTCTTAACCATTCTCTTAGTGGTGAAACTCAGACACGAATGGCCAGTCTCTTGCTCGCCATTCTCTCTACAGCCAAGTTATTCCCTTGTTGTCCAATCTCGATGTGCCTGAGCTGCTCCCCGCCCCCACCCTATCACTAGGCTCTTCACCTGAGTCTCCAGTCTCTGCTGCCTGATCTCTGGCTCTCAATTTCCATAGCCTACCTGACTATTGTGTCCACCTGTGGTTTGGAAAAAGCAGCCTCAGATGTTTTCATATGGTCTGAACTCCATTTGCCTTATACATATCCTACTTTATGTATACTCTGATCTTAAATGCACTCAGGACACACTTCATCTATGTCTTCCTTCCTGGCTTAGATCTCTAGATATCACTCTTGATCTGGTACACTCTCACTACGTCTCTACAGTTTGCCTTCCATTTGGTGCAGGACCCTGCATACCAATCGGAGAACCATCCTTAGATTCTGTGACTAGTCTGCCCCTTCCTCTGGCCAAGCATCATTTTTCACATTCTGATTTCAAGGGATTATCATATCTCTCCTTTACTGACTAACCCTTCAATCATAATAACCCTATTGCTTAATCTCTTGATATCTTCTAAGCCCCACTGCCCAAACCCATCTCCTGGGTTAAGATAATTTAGCTCTGCCTGGAAGTTCCGCTACCATCACAGCCTTACAAAATGACATCCAGGTTGATTGCAGCATAATAAATATGTAATTGATGTTTTAGGGTTTTGAAACAAATTTATTCTGTGCGGCCATAAATAATGCCTATAAATTATAAAGGTGTTACCTCAATAATATCAAATTTTAGTTGGTGAAGCATTACAATAGCATCAAAAAATTTTACAACATATTACTATTCTGTAGTATTTATACTTTACATTTGCTTTTAATCTAAACAGGGGGCTATTTCATAAGTGTTTTAATGACTATAATTGAAAAAGCTTAACTTTCTAAATCATTTCTGCTCTTAAATTTTATGATAGTAGATAGAGATAAATACCTTTGTGATATAGAAGATACAACAAGCTATCATGTGCTGTACACTTTCAAAACTCCCAGTCTGTTTCTTTGAGAAGCCAATATTTGGTAGTCCTTGCAAAACCACTATACACTTTATCAAGATCTAAAAAATAGAAGCACAATGATTTCTGTTTAAAAATACCATTACTCATTTTAAAATGTTCTACTCAAATCAGGCAAGTTTTAAACCATCAATTATCATTATTATTAATATTATTGGTAGATTATTTATAAAGGAATATACTGAGATAAATTTAACATATTCAATTTTCAGATGAGTCCTTCACCTAAAGTAACTTAAAAACTAGTGAAGAGGATAAAATAAGAACACAAACTGAAACAAAGCACACTTTGACAAGTGCCATAAAAGACAAAGAATGTCATGTGGACACAAGATAATAAAGATCACATCCAGGTTTGGAAGGACCTTGAAAAACCATATGGAGGAGGATGGGGCATACTAAATATTATGCTGTGATACCAGGTACTTGAAATAATAGTTTCCTTTAAAATTAAAACCCAGCATTCATAGCCCAGGAAATCAATTAATATTGGTGTTTATCACCTACTCACTTTGCTTCATATGATCTGATCCTGAATTTGATCAAGAGCTAGACAATTAAGTATAGCTTTCAATACTGTTGCACAGTTCTGAGCAATATAACTGTCAGAAAACTATAGATTAAATTTCAGTAATCTATTCATCATGCAGATTATCCTAAAGGACAAATTAATATATGGATGTTGATCACTTTCAGGCACCCTAATTGCTTTAAGCTACCATTCTAACAATAATGTCAGATAGTGATAAACAGTTGAAGAAAATTATAACATCTTAAAGGAATATCATAATTAAGGTGACAAGAGAATGTCTGAGAAGGAGACAACTGCGCAAGGAAATTAATGATGTAGGGGAGTGAGATCTTGTTGAAGAGAATTCCAGAATGAGAAAATAGCATGGGAAAGGGCCATGAAGTCCTATATTCAAATAACATCACAACAGTAAGTATTTTGGACATGTTATTAGAAGGGACCAGTCCCTGGAGAAGGACAACATGACTGGTAGACAGGGGAAGAAAGAAAGACTTTCAGTGAAATGGACTGACACGGTGGCTGCAACAACAGGCTCAAACATAGCAACAATTGTGAGGATGGCGCAGGACCAGACAGTGTTTCATTGTGTACATAGGGTTGCTCCGAGTGGGAACCAATTTGACGGCACCTAACAATACAACAACATACGTTATAAGAGATACATGGCTTTTTCTCTTCCAAAATGCATGGCTGAGTTGCTTTAGTAAAAATACTCTTACCTAGGGGAAAAGAAAGTACCCTTACCTGTACGACAGGTACCAAGACAATATTGTGATAGATGATAGGAGCAAGGAGGCCATAACATTGAGTCACCGCTTGAAGGGCATAACTGGAATCATTTAGAAAGTTGCTAAGTTCCAATGCCACTAATACTCTCTCACATTCAATTAGTCTAGCAATCTGTAAAGAAACAGGCATTGTTACTCAAATTGAATACAAGATTCTTAATTTATGTGTCTCTAAAAAGAGGTAGGGAATGTGATCCTTGTGGTTTAACAACATAAATGTTGACATGAAGAAAATCTAAGTTGAGAAATAACTCTAACTCTTCAACAATGCTTTGTGTGGATAATATAATTGCAGAATTAAACTTCAGAGTTTTTTTGTAAAACAATACAAGCACCACATACCACTACTAACTGAAAAGGAACCAACCTTTTTTTTATTAGTAAGATAAAATTTTGACTGTACTTTCATGTTAGAAAAAAAATCTAGTTTTCAAAAATATAAACTATAACAAATCATAATTAAAATATAACATCTCAATAGTACTTCTTCCACTTGATTAAAAGATTTTCTTTTATCATTTGATTTGTGAGAAAATGCTAAATTTTCAATAGAGCAAACTAATCTTCCATTATACTCTGCTGCTTATACTTCTGCTACTTAAATAAAAATTATAGCCAAATGTAAAATTAGAGTTTTGAGATTAAATATCACTTAAAAAAGAATAAAAATTCTATTTTACTCCTCCTTTCCCTTTCCTGGGGAAAGATTTCATTATTTTTCTGTAAATACATATGAGGTTATGTACAAAGAAAATTGTATGAGTAGTAACCAGAAATTTCTACACAGTCAGTTATTACTAGAATGGTACTCTAGTACCCTAGAATTCACTGAAATACCTAAAGGTTGTCTTTATTTTCCGACTGGATATGCTGAAAAAGGACACTGAATGTAACATAGTAGGAAAAAGATGATGTTAGATCTTGGGCTCTACATGGTTGTGAACCTGCCTTGGGCAAAGGACCATGTTCCTTCATCTTCACATGTCCACAAACTGGCACAACCATGTGTAACAATTTATTGGTTAATTAATTAATGAATAAGTGGATGGATAGAAAAAAGCAACTGTAAAAAAATAGGTGGCAAAAGCCTTCATATCTAAGGTGAGTAAAGGAAGAAAGTGAGAGAAAGAAGAATGAACAATGAGCCGGAGTAAAAGAATAGTGCAGGTCATTATTAAAAGCCAGAGAATTCTGGGGTTGGCAGCAGTATACCTAGTACTTTTTAGAACCACCCTGAGAATCTGTCAATAGGAGATAGGTTAAATTCCTGCTGCTACACATGAAAGCAACATTATAATTAAAAAGAATGTGGTAGATTGATATGTAATAGCATGAAAATATGTCCATATTATAAACATTTTTTAAAGGCAAGACGCAAAACAGCAAATAGAGCATGATCCCATTCTTGTAAAAAAATAAATAATAACATAGATTTGTCTATGCTTTTATTTGAAAAACTGGAGAAATCATATTTTTTTAAAAAATGGTATTTTCAAGAGTACTAGGATTAAAATAGGCTTTACTTTAAACATTAGGCATTTTTCAGTATTTTAAATATATTACTGCTGTACACAGGGAAAAAAACAAAAACAAAGATAAACTGAAGAAAAAAAAAAAAGACCATGCACACAGGTCTGTATAACCTACATGGAATATCAGTTAAACCAGCACAATCATACAATGGCCTCTCAGACCACTCACAAACCAGGACGTATAATCCCAAAAGAACATGAAGTAAAACATCAGGAAAAAAATAAAGAGTAACTTGCATATTTTCAGTCACTTTAATTCACTTACTTGTTGAGAGGGGAAAATCTCATTGCCTTTAATATTATCACAGAAGAGGTTTTCTTCTTTGATTTTAATGTCACTTGTTACAAAAATATTTCTAAGAAAAAGGTATAAAAGGATCGAAGATGTCTCTGCCAAAATGTCTGAATATAATCTGCAAAAGGAAGTAAATAATGTTATAGGAATAAATATAAAATTATTTGGCATGTGAACTCACCTTTTTTAGATTGATTTGCTCTTAATATCTACATAATGATCCAATACAGTAACAAAAATTTGTGGAACAGCTACTATCGTACAGCTAGGGACTGTACAGTGAGTTTAAATTGAAAGTAAAGACCATCTTTAGCAACAAGCTCACAATTAAGAAAATTAAGCTTCTGACATATTATCATGTCATAGATATATAAAACAAATATGGCAAAGTTTCTGGGTTCTAATGCATAAAATTCTTTTTTTCTATCAACACAAGGAAATCACTATAGATACTGGGAAGCTAGGAAAACAGACCTAATATTTCAATTAATGAACTTTCTGAAAGTAAGTTTCATTTATAGAAAAATCAATCATGGTTAAAAATAGTGACAGAATCTTCATAACTCTTGGTTTATTTCTAAATATCTTTTCTAAATTGCAGTCAATAGTGCCAGCCGTTGGCAAAGCTGTGAGATCTGCAAAGTCTTCCTTTTTTGTTTCCAATAGTCCCTTCCTTGCTCTTAGCCTTACTTGGTGACAAACCCTCCAGCTTAAACTTCAGGTCTGTCTACTCTCTATACCCCTTATCCCTACAAAACAGGAAAGGGTCTGACATCAGTAGATGTCAGTAGTCAGTAGGTAGAAGATTATTTGTTTCATCACATGTCAAACTCTGAAATTATCTTTGCCAGAAGAATTTTAGTTCTCCCACTCCTTCAACTCCTACTAAACTTTCTCTTTGTCCTCATGATAACCTTCAGTACCTTGACATGTACAATTTGTCCAAGCTATCACCCTTTCTTGGCTTCATTTCCTTCCCTCTCACGCTGTGATCAGTCATTTCAATGGTGATCTCGCTAGCATTTTAGGTTCTGTCATTCCTTTGTTCTATGAAATGATCGGTTTGCCTGATTTTGCATAGATGTCACTGTCCAATTTTTTACCTCTACTACAGTCATCAATCACTTATTTATCCTACTCATTCATTCATTCATTCATTCATTCAAACTAGCATTTAATGAACATCTAATATGTATTAGACACTGTTCTAGGCCATGAGATATAAAGATGAATCGAATTAGCCCCTAGCCACAAGGACCTGGGCTCCACCACAAATTCATGTTATCTGATATTAGTTGAGTCATCAATGCTTCTCAGCAATTCTTCATTTATCCCTGATGTCTCCTTGTTCACCCTCCCCACAGTAGATGTTCTAAACCACCTGTTCTTGACCCCGTGTGCTCTTTATGTCCTCCTGGCTCTTCTACTATATTCACCAGCATTTTCTGCTATCTTCAGTCTCTCCCTCTCCACTGGCTCACTTCTCTCAACCCTCCAAAATTCTATCCTTGAGTCTACTTTCCCCCTCAGGCTTCTACATATTTTCCTCTTCTCTTTACCACCAAACTTCACATAAGTGTTTTTTGCGTGTTACAGTTTTCTGTTTTCATTTATTCCTTAGCTGATTACAAAATGGTTTCTGGCCCATCATGCCACCGAAATGGCTCTTGAATTCTTCAATGGCCTCTTCACTGCCAGCTGTAAAAGCCTCTTCTTAAGTCTTCACCCTACTTAACCTCTCTGAGGTATGTTATTGAACAACTACTCTGCCTGGCTTTGAACTAGCATTTCATGCTGCTGGCCAGTCCCCTCATGGTGATGTTCTCACTTCCCTTTGTTTCTGAGACAGTGTGCTCTCCTTGGTCTCCTCTCACCTCCTGGACGGCTCCTTTTCGATATCTTCCCTTGGTTCCATCTCCTGCTTCTGGCTCTTATATGTAAGCAATGCCCAGTTCAACTGTAGTTTTTTTAATCCTTTTTGCTAAGCAGTCATTCTTCTGTAGATGTCAGTTACTTCCAAGATTTCAATGATGACTTCTGAGGACAATTTCTAAATCTGTATGTCTAGTCTTCACCTCTCTCCCGAGAGAGGTCAACTACCTACTGGATATCACATATTCACAAAGGTGTCTGCCAGGAACTCAAAATATCCCCAATCAAATTCATTATATTTCCTCCCAAAATTTGTTCCTCCTCTTATATTCCCTTAGTAAATGTCATAAACTTCCCAGTCAGTTAACACTAGAAATCTCTGTCAACTTTCACTTCCTCTTTGCCCTTATCCACACAAGTCACATAAAATCTTCTAAATCTTTCTCTTCCTCCCCAAAAGTGCTTCTCAAATTCATCCCACACAACACCTAGTAAATGCTAACTATACATTTGTTTAATTGGATGGAATTATATGTTCATGTGAATCAATGCCTTGCCTCAATCATCATTTGCATTTTTAAGTTCATTAACTTTGATTTATGAATAAAAGATGATCTTATTAAAGGAATTTCAGGCATTAACTAGGAGGTGGAGGAGATTATTGCTGTTGTTGAACTTTTTGGGACAGCCTGAAATCACACTAATGCTCATTTCTGACACCACTCTTAGTTCTTTTAAAGGAACCAAAAATCAGTTGCCCTTGAGTTGATTTTGACTCATAGCAACCCCAGGTGTGTCAGAATAGAACTGTGCTCCATAGGGTTTTCAGTGGCCTATTTTTCAGAGGCAGATCACCAGGCCTTTCTTCTGAGGCACCTCTGGGTAGACTTGAACTTCAAAACTTCTGGATAGCGGCTGAATAAGTTAACTATTTGCACCACTCAGGGACTCCCTTTTAAGAAAAAAGGGCAGGCAGTAAGTACTGAAAGATGGCCTGTGATTTCTACTTATTATATGGTCTCTACTGGCCTATTTGCAGTTGCAAATGGCCTAATCCTAAAAGCCTCTTCAAGCAAAGGAAAAGCCTTCTCACTGTAACAGGCCACGCATCAGACCTTAACCTTAACCCCAGCCTCACCTTTCTCTGTTACAAAAGTCCCTGGTACACATTTGCGTTTTCTGGTATGACTGGTATTACTTTGGTTGGTATTTGATATTTTTATTCTATAGTTCATCTTCTTATATTCAGAATGCGTTCATATGCCTCCAGTGTTTTTTTCTGCCCCTAGCAAGAAGTTTCTAACAAAGACCTGAGACCTTGGAGTGTATATTCTTATTACATTACTTACTAGAAATAGTTTTATATGAAATTGAAAATAAATTGATTCAAGGCCACACACCCAGCATCTATATTTTCAATAAGCAAATTCATATTTTAAAATAACATTTCCAATTACCTTCTCTGTGTGATAGTCATTATATTGCTTAAACAAGTAATAGACTGGTCATCCTGAAGTGGTGAAACAACAAAATAATCCCAAACTGGTGAAAAAACTCTCTTAGTCAATTCATAGTTACCCATCTGGTAGGCAACCTATAACAGAAAGTACATTTTCTTAGGCAGTATTTTTACTTGTGATACGCATATCTTAGGCAAGAATTCTGATAAGGTTCTATCATGGACTAATTTCATACACAGCTGTCCCCTCTGCTGTTCTGGTCTATGGTGCCATGGTAAGGTAAGGACGACCAATGGCAAGGGAGACAGACACATCTTGAAATCTCTTTTATTTCTAAATTGCATGGAAATTTGAAACTCTGTAAGGATGTTTCAAATCCTCATAAGCAAAACAAAGATCACATCCGAGCCAAATTAATTTCATTTTCATCTATCTCGGCAGTGCATTCCATTTATTATAGATACTGTTATAATGAACAATCTGTTCCAAGAGAAACAATCAGATTTCCCAAACCTAAAATATGAAATATACTTCATTCTTCTCTGGTTCTGACTGACACTTTCAGAGCTTTTGTGCAACAAAGAGCTCACAGCTGAAAAGAGTAAAGGGATAAAGCAGATGAAGCTTCCCAGAAGCCAAGACATGTTTTAACACATTTAACATTAGGAGAAATAAATGATTCCAGTAGTAAAGCCTGGAAGTTCAAGGGAAAAAAAAAATCATCAACATATCAACCAACATTTACCTGTTTCTTTTGGTAGAATATCTATCTCTAAAGATATTTCTAAAAATCAAATCTATTTAAATATGCATATAACAATATGAAATCTCACGGAATAAGTTACGTGCTGCTTCAAATCCTTTATGGGAGTATAAACCGTAAATAAATTCATTGAATTAAGTATGTAAATGACATGTTACTAGAATACATTCCACTCAAGGGAATAATTTATAGGACCAGAACTTTCCAAATCTGCCAAATCAATACTCATTATCAACCAGCCAATAAGCTTTTGTGAAGTTTCTACTCTGTGCTCAACACTGTAGGGGTAGATTCTTCAAAGCGTAAGAATGGTCCCATAGTCTATGAAACTATAATCAAGTAATAAACAATCACAGAAAAACTACAAAAAATAGCTTAATAATTGTAGAGGTTCAGGAAAGGAGAAATGAAAACTTCTAGGAGGAGGCAGAGCTTAAGCTAGACCCTAAGGCAGGGATGAGATTTGGATTGCCACAGTTTAGACAGAATCTGAAATAGGTCTAGTAATGAGAATCACCATAGTGTGTTTAGGAAAGACTGGAAAGATGGATCAGAATTTGAAAACAAGTAGGCAATATTATTGAAGAGGTAAAGTGGTGCATGATTAAAGAAGGCCTTGAATATCAGGTGGAAGTATTTAAAGAGGTCAAGCACACGCATATTGTATTGAATTCTCATTACAACTCTCTGAGGTAGGCTCTATTACCATCTCTCCTTACCAAGAGAAACTGGGGCATAAAGAAGTTGAATAATTTGTACAGAGCCTAACAGTCAGTAAAAATGGTGGAACCAAGACTTAGAGTAAATGAGTCACTTCTCTGGGTTGCATTTGTCAAAAGATGGTCACTAACGCACCACACAATTTTAAGATTCAACAACGAAAATGACAACAGATTATGTGAAACAGACTGGTGAAATTTGAATTGACTTTTCTTGCTTTTTAAAAAAATATCATTTTAAAAATAATGTTATCTGTTCAACTGGTGAACATTGTGAGACAAGAAAAGACAACATGATAAAACTAATGTTTGTAAAACCGTGAGATGTGGGTTTTTTAACAGGGTGCCATGACATAAGCATATTCAAGGATGACTAACCTTGTAGTGATATGCAGAATAGATTTTAGAAGGGATCAGCCTAAAATGAAAAAGAAGCACTGAAAGACTAATGAAATAATTAGGTACAGTAGGCATCACCTACTTAATACAAATACAAGACCTTCACTTGGCTACCAGAACTCCATACTCTTGGTTTTCTTTTTACCTCACAGGCCACATTCTTTCTCAAGTCCCTCCTCTTTTCCCCAATCTCTTTATACTGGCATACCCCAGGGCTCAGTTTTAGGGCCACTGCTCTCTTGTCTCTACACTCATTTCCATGGTGGTATCATTCAGTCTTAGGGCTTTAAATATAACTACCCTCAAATCCCTCTCCTGCCCAGACCTCTCTCCCAAACTCCAGATTTATACATCTAGCTGACTACTCAACACTTCTATCTAAATATCTAATAAACATCTTACAGTCAGCATGCCTCAATCTGAACTCCTAATCATTCTTGTCCCAAATCTACCCCACACACAGTCTTCCCCATTTCAGTGGATGTCAACTCTACCCATCTAGTTGGTCAGCTAAATATTGCAATCTTTTATTTTTATCTTATTTCTATCAGGAACTTTTGTTAGCTCCTCCTTCAAAACATATGCAGAATCTGACCACTTCCCACCACATCAGTAGCCATCATCCTAGCCAAACCATCTTTATTGCTCACTGGTTGACAGCAATATACAGATCCCCCTGCTTCCCCTCTTGTCCCCTTATGGTCTATTGCCAATAGAGCAGCCAGGACAAACCTTTGAAAATAGAAGTCATGTTATGGTATGTCACTACTCAAAACCCCCCAATGGCTGCCCACTTCATTCAAGATAAAAGCCAAAGTCTTTGTTATGACCTAGAAGTCTTTTCATGATCTGCTCTCCGATCCACTCCACTAACCTCTTACCACTCTGACCTCTCCTCTCTCTGGGTCCCTCTACTCCAGCCATACTTGCCTCAATGTTTCTCAAACATACCAGGTGCACTGCTGGAAACCTTAGGGCCTCTGCTCTAGCTGTTCCTTTGGCCTGGAATGCTCTTGCCCCAGAGAACCACTGGCTAACTCCCTCATTGCCTTCAAGTCTCTGTTCAAATCTCACCTTCTAGATGACGTCTTCCCTGATCATCCTATTTAATACTACAATCTGCCTTTCATTCCCCGACCTCACACTTCCAGTTCCCCTTACCAAACTCTTTTTTTTCCATAGTGTCATCATCTTCTTTTTTTTTTTTTTTAATTTTTTTAAAATTGTACTTTAGGTGAAGGTTTACAGAACAAATAGTTTCTCATTACACAGTCAGTACACATATTGTTTTATGACATTGGTTAACAACCCCACACATGTCAACTCTCTCCCTTCTCGACCTTGAAGGACCTTTTTTCTTTTTTGGTGAAAATATACATAGCCAAAGATACACCATTTCAAAAATTTCTACATGTACAATTCAGTGACATCGATTATATTCTTCCAGTTGTGCTGCTATTCTCACTATCCTTTCCCTAATTATTCCATCACCATTATCTTCAACTCACTGCCCCCTAGGCTTCCCATCAAACGTTCTGAGTTGCTGTTGTCAATTTGATCTCACATAATTATTTTTCTTTTTGTACCTTAGATGAAGGTTTGCAGAACAAATAGTTTCTAATTAAACAGTTAGTACACACATTGCCCTGTGACAGTCGTTAACAACCCCACGACATGTCAACACTGTCCTTTCTCAACCTTGGGTTCCCTATCACCAGCTTTCCTGTCCCCTCCTGCCTTCTAGTCCTTGTCCCTGGGCTGCCGTGCCTCATTAGTCCCATTTTGTTTTGTGGGGCTGTCCAATCCCCGGCTGAACAGTGAACCTCGGGAGTGACTTCACCACTGACCTAAAAGGGTGTCTGGGGGCCATACTCTCGGGGTTTCTCCAGTCTATGTCAGGCCAGTAAATCTGGTCTTTTTTTGTGTGTTAGAATTTTGTTCTTCATCCTTCTCCAGCTCTGTCCAGGACCCTCTGTTGTGATGCCGGTCAGAGAAGTCAGTGGTGGTAGCCGGGCACCATCTAGCTGTACTGGACTCAGTCTAGTGAAGGCCTTGGTAGTCGTGGTCCGTTAGTCCTTTGGACTAATCTTTTCCTTGTATCCTGTACTCTTCATACTGTGTTGCTCCCGAAGGGGTGAGACCAGTGAAGTACCTTATCTTAGATGGCTGCTCATAGACTTTTAAGACCCCAGATGCTACTCATCAAGGTAGAATATAGAGCATTGTCTTCATAAACTGTATTATGCCAATTGAGCTAGATGTTCCCCGAGAGCATGGTCCCCACAGCCCTCCACCCAGCAATTCAGTCCCTCTGGGAGTTTGGATGTGTCTATGGAGCTTCCATGACCTTTTCTTGTACAAGTTGTGCTGGCTTCCCCAGTACTGTGTACTGTCTTACCCTTCACCAAAGTTACCACTTATCTATTGTCTATTTAGTACTTCCCCCCATCCCTCCCATCCCTTATAACCAACAAAGATTGTTACTTTTTGTCCATAGTGTCATCATCTTCTAACACACTAGCTAATTTACTTTTTACTGTGCTTATTGTTACTTATCTTCCAGCATAGCATTTTGTTCACTTTGCCTAGAACAGCTGTTCTCAAAGTATGGTCCCAGGACAAACAGCATCAGCATCACCGTGTCAGGAATGCAAATTCTTGGGCCCCACTTCCACTTTACCTACTAAATCAGAAACTCTCGGGGTGGGGTCCAGCAATTTGTGTTTAACTAGCCCTCCAGGTCACTCTGATGCATGGTCACGTTTGAGAACCACTAGCATGGAGCAATGCCTGGCACAGAATAAGCAAGCAATAAATAGTATTTAGAATGGACTTAAAAATTCCCTTTTCTTGATAATCTCCATAGTATACACAAAGGAAGACACCCAGTAATTGTATTATACTATAACATGGTTGACTGGCCCAGGGACAATGCCTGAACCAAACTGGGCCAATCAGATCTCTTTCCCAGGAATTCGAAATCAGGGTTCAGAGCCAGCCAGCTGGTTCCTGTTTACACCTGAAATTGAGGGATAGATTTTTTTAAAAACTTCAAAACTTGCAATCTTTCCTCCAAAGATGGAGAAGTAAAGAAAGCCAATCTTTAGAGAGAGAAGAAAGCAGATGTATATAGAGAAACAAAGGTAAGAGACCTAGAGTTGCCTGGACTCTGCAGCCTTCCCATGGTCTAGCTGCATTCCACCTAATCCTGCTCACAGACTGCTAATTTTCTACACTTTAATATCACATTATTTACCTACTTAAAGAGGAAGAGTAAAAAGAAATGAGGCTACAAAGAAGAGGAAATTAGAAAATATCCACAGAAAATACATATTCCATAAAGATTCCTGAAAAATGTTCCTAGATTGCCTTAATTAATAGCATCTATGTTAAGGGAAGGAAATCCTGGTGGCATAGTGGTTAAGAGCTATGGCTGCTAACCAAAAGGTCAGCAGTTTGAATCTACCAGATGCTCCTTGGAAACCCTATGGGGCAGTTCTATTCTGTCCTATAGGGTCACTATAGGGTCACTATGAGTCAGAATCCACTTGATGGCAACAGGTTGGTTTTTTTTTAATGTTAAGGGAAAACTTAGTGAAGATTCATCTGACTTTATTGACGTTTATAGAATAATGTTAAGTAAAAGCGCAACCTAAAATCTCAAAAGCTGAGTTAACCCTAGGCATTAAGTGAAATGTATCCATATTTTACTAGAAAATATCAATGATAAAATGTTTTTAAAAACAGAATTATTCTAAAACTAAAAACCAACCACTCTCATGAAAATTAAATCGCTAATCCAAAAGAAAGGTATGTTTCCTATATATAACTTAAAAGTTTAAACTTAAGTTGCAAATTAAGCAGTTTTAATAAGTGAAGAAAGTTCGTTTAAGTCACTTAACATTAGGAGAGGATACTCATAAAACTATCATTAATAACTATAGACCTGCAAATATAGTATCAATAAATAAATGCAGATCATTACTTCACGACACTTCTCATTATCCCAGTCATATAGATTAGACTTAGTTTTATTAACTTTCAATGAAAGTTCTGCCAAATGAAGACTAAGAGTTGAACTACTCCCTGGAGAAAAATTAGGCCTTGATGAAATATTTGGCTTCTCATTTTGAAATAACTGCATCACTGCGAATTAGGGGACATATTAAATTTCAAAGAAATCAAAACATCAGAAAACCATGAAGCAATATGACATGCTAAGCCAATGCTAGACAAATCCTAGCAATTCTCTCAATTTAATTTTCTTTGAAATATATGATAATATAAAATGCCCCTAAGACTTCAGTTTATAATACTAATAAACTATTAAGATAAAAAAATAACACAATGGAAATGTGATAAAATTTAGAATGGCCACCAGCTCTACAGCCAACAATAGGCTTAAAATTAGATGCCTGAGACTTACGTCAGTAAGCTAGTCTTTCTAATGTTCTATTCACAGGTGACATGTTTTAAGTCAGACAATCACTAGTTTAGCAAAAAAATATATTAATGAATGAATATATCGTAACTAAAACAATAATAATATTAAGCCTACTGTGTGACAAGTGCTATGGTTAACCATTTGACAGGCATAATTCCATTTAATCCTCATAATGCCCCTAGGATTTAGCTACTATTATTACCCCCATTTCACAGATGAAAAAACTGCGGCTTAGAAAAATTAAGTCATTTGCTCAGTATCACATGGCTGGAATTTGAACTCAGGTCTGGCTGTCTCTATTGACCCAGAAATTTCTTCCATGAATTTATCCTAAGGATATAACCATGGATGCAGTTAAGGATTTATATACAAATATGTGCATCATGACTTTGTGTATAAGAGCAAAAGACTGGGAAGTATCTAAATACCCAATAGGGGAAAATATCTAAATAAACTATGATAAATCCATAAGATGTAATACTATGCAACTACTAAAAATTATATTTCAGAAGAACATTTAATGGAATGGAAAATGTCAATTATATAGTAAATAAAAATATCAGGGTATAAAATAATATGTTTACTGCATCTAAAATTATATACCACATATAAATTTTTATTGATTTATTATTGGACAAATCTGCTGCAAAAGACCTCTTTAAAGTATTAAAAAGCAAAGATGTCACTTTGAGGACTAAGGTGTGCCTGACCAAGCCATGGTATTTTCAATTGCCTCATATGCACGTGAAAACTGGACAATGAATAAGGAAGACTGAAGAAGAACTGATGTCTTTGAATTATGGTGTGGGCAAAGAATACTGAATATACCATGGACTGCCAGAAGGACAAACAAATCTGCCTTGAAAGAAGTACAGCCAGAATGCTCCGTAGAAGCAAGCATGGCGAGACTACGTCTCACGTACTTTTGACATGCTATCAGGAGGGACCAGTCCCTGGAGAAGGACATCATGCTTGGTAAAGTACAGGGTCATCGAAAAAGAGGAAGACCCTCAATGAGATGGATTGACACAGTGGCTACAACAATAGACTTAAGCATAACAATGATTGTGAGGATGGTGCAGAACTGGGCAGTGCTTCCTTCTGATGTACACAGGGTCACTATGAGTCGGAACCGACTCGATGGCACCTAACAAAACAACAATAATAAATTTATCTATTATACATTTTATACACATATACAGAGATGTAACAGAAGGGATATCTGAATCAGGATTTCTCAACCTCAGCACTATTGACATTTTGGGCTGGATAATTCTTTGTTGTAAGGGGCTTTCCTGTACATTGCAAAATGTTTAGCAGCATCCCTGGCCTCTACTCATTAGATGCCAGTAGCATCTCCCTAGTTGTGACAACCAAAAATGTCTACAGTGAACTGCTGCTCTGGAGGATTGCATTACAGATAAATTTTATTTTCTTTCTTTGTGCATTTCAGTATTTTCCAAATTTTCTGAAATTAATGAGTTACATTTGTAATCCAGGAAGAAAAATGTTATTGTAAAACGCAAACTTACTAATAAGAGAAAGAATGATTCATATTTTCTGAGACTGAACTGCAATAATGAAAAATGTATATTATAGGAGCTTTAGAATATCTGCTGTTTTTTTCAAACAGAAATTGTTTAGTAACCGCTTAAAGGAAAGAAAAATAGAGAAAAAAATTGCAGAAGTCTCTTCTACCTGAGTCAGGAACGTCCGAGCAGTAAGTGCAGAAAGGGGTGGATAAACCAGAATTGGCTTTGTTGTCTCCCCAATAGCATCACCAATAAGCTTCCCATTAGAAGAATAAGCAGCAATTGCAAATATGTATTTTTCATTGGTTTCTAAACCTTTCACTTCAAAAATGCTCTGACCATCAGCTGGTATCTAGTAACAAAAACATATTTCAACTTATATATGGAAAATTAAAATACTGTGAGTTTTAAAATACAAGTAAATCTTCTATGCAAAAAAAACAAAACTTTTTATTTATGGTTAGATTTTAGTTATGACTCAAGTTGAAATTAGAGAGATTCACTGAAATAATGACTTTATAAGAAAAAAAAAATTCAATTGTCATTAAAAAGGCTGTTGGTAAGATTTCCAGACATTTAGAGGTTTTTTAATTTGACGTACCGCTTCTCCTGAGTTTGGGAGATGGTTATTGTTTAGCCTTACTTTTCCATAGCTTCCTTCTGCTTTGCAACCCAAAATGCAGTACCAGGAGACCTGCCGAGAAGAGAGATGTACCTATCACTTGTAGTCTGTTTAACAAGGCATTCAATATTTTTTTCTCTCAATGCGGCAAAAGGAATATTTGTCTAAATAAGAATGTAATTATTCAAGTTTTAAAACATGAAATCTAAGTTTACAAACACACTTAGGTTTACTCTTAGAGAAGTAAAGGCAAAGATAGGGCTAGTGGACCTTAGACTACCAAGACTAAAATATTATTCATTACAATATTGAGTATTTTAACTACCATTAACTGAGCAAGGCCCTAAGTGCTAAGTGTTGTTAGGAAATTTACATATACTTTCTAACACTGACACCATCCCTATGAGAGAGGTAGTACCACAGTCATTTTGCTTTAGAGGAGTGGAGAAGCAGAGATGTGAACCAACTCGCCCATTATCACACAGGTCATTGATGTCAAAGATGACTTCATCTGGATGGAAAAAAGATCAACACTCAAATAATCTTCATATTTCATTTAATAATATATCACAAAAAAGAAAGTGGAAAAAAGCAAGATACTGCATTGCAGTATTTAAAATAAAATGTAAAAACACATATGAAAAAAGCCTGAAAGAAAATGCTGCAAAATAAGAAAAGTAGGAGGGTTTGGATGGTAAAATAGTAATATTATGGGTAATTCTTTTTCTCTAGTTTCTAAATTTTCTGAAACATGAAATTACTTTGATAATTTAAACAGACATAAACTAAACAAAAAATAAAAATTCCATAAAAACAATCAAACTTAAATTTGGTTAAATGGTTAGGCAACGGTCCTTCTGCTAAGATGTCAAAAATAATAGAGATTCCTTACTGTAATGAATTATTCTCACTAACAGATCAAAGTAGGAAAAGGGGAACAAGCTGATACTTAGGGAGTTAGTTTTATGAACCACCTATACCATGTACCAGGGTTTGGGAAAAGGGTATTCCTTTCTCTACCTCACAACATCTCAACCCCTAAACTACAAGGGAAGCTGGAAAGAAGCTGGAAGAATGTAATTCTCTGTAAGAAGTAATTGCCTCTTACAGCTTATGCCTGGCACTTCTTCCAGCACAACAGAACAACTCTAAAGGTGTCTAGTCTACACCAGTGGTTCTCACCCTGACTGTGCACCAGAATCACTTTCTAAAAATACAGATTGTACAGAATCAACTATTTTATTAATTACAGATACCCAAGTCTGTTCAATTCCATGAATTAGGGTTTCTGGTGCAGATGTCCAAACCTGTGTATTTTCAAAGAGAATGTCTCAGGTGATTGTGATGTGCACATCTAATTAAGAAGCACTAGTCAAAGGCAGGAGGGTTCAAGGACAGAGAGGGCATTAAAGGAACTTTGAAGTTGGAGACTGGAAGGAAAAAAACCACGTAGCTCTCAGAAAATTTTAAAAAGTAACTTCCCTTGATTTCCCATACAAAAAAGAATACCACTTTTCGTAAGAGAAAAAAAAAAACAAAAACCAGAAAGGCTATGTTACATGACTTAAATCATTACTGCTCTAAGTTAAGCTTTTATACATAAACCAGTATTTGTAGGGTAAAATTCTCTCTAAAAGCTATTTTACAAGATGACTTTATATTTTTATTTTATTCCACTGATGTTTTCCATCTTAGTTTGTGTAACTGTAAAAAGCAATGTATAACTAGAATCTGCGTGAAAGACACCATGTACAAATCACCACTAACTGTAGAAGCGTTTATAAATAATAAAAATAGCACCAGCATTTTCAACTGTAAAAACAGATTTTAATGAAATGAATGCCCTAAAAAGAAATTTGATAAGACAAAAGATGGCTGAAGCCTCAAATAATACAACTTATTTAAGCCCACACCACCATCTAGTGCTGATGAGGAGGAATGGAACGTGATAATTTTCAGGAGCACACAACTCTACTAACATATAATATACATAAATTTCATATAATGTACTAAGTGACAAGTCCTAAAATTAAAAGTCGGATTCTTATATCTTCCTATTTCCAAATATTATAAAATAAAATAAATTAGTCAAAAAATCAAAATACATAAAAAATTAGATTTTGGTTAAATAAACCAAAACATTTGAATAAAAACTAACAAAAACTCTTAGTAAGTCAAGCAGTATTAGTTCTGTGCTGAATTTCCAAAATTAATGAATCTCTTTTCTTAAACAGATTCATAGAAATCTGAAGTCAAACTAAAACTGCTAGCAATAGTTATTATAGCAGAGTTATGTGTAAGATGAATGCTATTTCTTCTCCCCCAAGTGTAAAGCATTATGAAGGTTGTACTGCCTCTCACTGATGTCCATTTCTCATTAGTCTGATGCTCTCTAAAGGATGAAACCATGCTTTATTTGTGTTTATCTTTGTACCTCAATTACCTTGCACTGAAATGGGCAGGTAATAGACAATAAATGCTTGTTGGATAGAACTCACGAAAAACATCACTGAATAACAGAATCACAGTCTATAACTTCATTCATTGCTTTAAGCGAACTTGGCTACATACATGTTATATATTACCTCATTTAATTTTCGCAGTAACAGTGCTTTACAAATTAAAAAAATAATAAACCTCAGGAAATGTATTCATCTTTCTAGAATTTTAAACCTCTATCTGACTCCGAAGACAGTGGTCTTTCCACTATACCAAGATTATGCAAGTTGAAGCAGAACATCCTGAAGAGAATTCAAGAAAAACTTTTTTTTATACAACATCAAAGGATGTGTTGTTGATCATCCAAAACAGGAAAATCAGAATACTAACTGTAAGTGTTCAGTGTTTATAAATAAAACCAAAATCTATTCAGATCATAAAAAACAAAAGTATCAATCATTATAGCCATAAAAGTACTTAGGCTGCTTTGCATGAAGTAAAGATCATAATGGATCATACCTTGACATCTGAAATAAATGGAGCAGGTTTCAATGTCACAGAACAATGAGTCCGGGACAGCAGGATAGGTGGAGGAGGAATTCTGCTTTTCTTTCTTTTCGAATTTTCAAAGTCTTTCTGATATAAATACAGAGCATTTTGTTCTGCTTCAGTCTTCTCAATTAAAGAATATGCTTCCTATAATGAAGTGTGAAAACAGAAAACTACATTTCAAGAGCTTGAACTTCATTTATGTTTGCAGAATTCTGGTGACGTTAAACAATATTATCTTGGCTACATGTGCTTTTTGAGCCTCGGTTATCATTTCAAGCATGGAGTGATTTTCTAGAAGAAAAAACTGGCTACTAAATAAGGCTATACATGACTACCAATGGCATTATATTTATATGTTTAGTATATTTATCATTATCACACATTAACACGAGATATTTCATTTTTAAAATCAAACCTTCTGAATATCTACCAACATATTTCATTGTCCTTAAAAAGTTCATACCAAATCATCTGCATTTATACTGGTGACGTAAGCACACCTTTAATGTGCTTTAGGTGTGACTCTCAAATAATGAAACTATTGCTATATGTAGTTTATAAAATGAATATTATTGAGAGTCTCTTACTATCAGCAAGAAGAATTAAAATAGACAAAAACATTTACTCTTTAGACCTGAAGGAAAAGCAATTTTTTTTTAAAGGTTATACACTGAGAAATAACAAATTAAAAAAAAAAAAAAGGATAAAAACTCAGGGGGTCTAAACAATATTTCAAAAGTAAGATTAAATATATCAGCAATAATAACACATGCAAATGGGTTAAACTCCCCTTTTAAATTAAGTTTAAAAGGAAAGACTTTCTAATCGAGTCCCAAAGCAAAAACTCATGGAAATGTTTTTTAAAAATAAACAGATGATGGAAAAAGAAGTATCTTTTCAACAAATGGTGCTGGAACTGGATAGCAGTATACAAAAGAGTGAAGGTGGACCCCTACCTCACACCATATGCAAATATAAACTCAAAATGAATCGTAAACCTAACTGTAAGAGCTAAAACTATAAAATTCTTAGAAGAAAACATAGCAGATTTTTTGTGACCTTGTGTTGGAAATGGTTTCTTATATACAATGGCAAAAGCTCAAGTGATAAATAAAAAAACAGATAAATTGGGCTTCATCAAAATTAAAAACATTTGTGCTTCAAAGAACACCAGTAAGAAAGTGAAAAGACAACACATTGACTTGGAGAAACTATTTACAAATCTGGTATCTAATAAGAGATTTGTATCTGGAATATATAAACTGTTACAATTCAATAATAAAAAGACAATAACCCAATTAAAAATGGGCAAAGGATTTAAATAGACATTTCTCCAAAAAAGATATACAAATAGCTGATGAGCACATGAAAAGTGCACAACATCATTAGTCACTAGGGAAATACAAATTAAAACCACAATGAGAAATCACTTCACACCCACAAAGATGTCTCAAAGTAAATCATAAACCTATAATCAAACAGACAGACAATAACAAGTGTTGGTGAAGATGTGAACAAACTAGAATCCTTATACACTGCTAGTAGGAATGTAAAATAGTGCAGCCATGTTGGAAAACAGTTCTGCAGTTTCTTAAAATGTTAAACACAGAGTTACCATATCACCAAGCAATTCCACTCCTGAGTATATAATCAAGAGAAATGAAAGCATACGTCTACACAAAAACTTGTACAGATGTTCACAGTGGCATTATTTATAATAGCTAAAAAGAAGAAACAACCCAAATGTCCATCAACTGATGAATAAACAAAATGTGGTCTATTACACAATGGAATGTTATTTGGCAATAAAAAGGAATGAAGTACCAAAACCCTTTGGAGCACAGTTCTACTCTGACACACTTGGGGGTCACCATAAGCTGGAATCAACTTGGAATTAAAAAAAAGAATAAAGTACTTATACATGCTACAACATGAATAAACCTTGAAAACATTATGGTAAGTGAAAGAAGCCAAAAACAAAACAACACATATTGTATTGTTCCATTTATATGAACAGGCAAATCCACAGTGATGGAAACCAGATTAGTAGTTGCTAGGACTGGTGGTGGCGGTGGGGAAAGGGAGAGTGACTGGTAACAGAGTTTCTTTTTGGGGTGATGAAGATGTTCTAAAATTAGATAGTGGCGATGACTGCACAACTTTGTAAATATACTAAAAATCACTGAATTACAAGCTTTAAAGGGGTGAATTTTACTGGACATGAATTATATCTTAAGAAAATGGTTGAAAAGTAAAAAAGAAGGAAGTAAGGAACAAAGGATGAAGCAAAAGAAGGAAGGAGGAAAAACAGAAGAGATAAATAGAAATAACAAATCATAAAAGGCAAACAAAACCCAAAGAAACTAAAATCAATCAAGGTTCATAATATTAAACATGGATGTTAGGCAAGGATAGTTTCAACTAAAAAGTATTCAATGGAAGAAAGAAATAACATTATATTGATAGTGGATTCAATTCACAAACGTAACTTTCATAAGTCTTTATGTGAAAATTACATGGCATCAAAATATATAAAGTAAAAACTACTAAAATTCCAGGAAAAATACACAGAAACAAATTTGGAGTAGGATACTTTAAACCATCTCTTTTCACTTTTGACAATTCAAGTGGTCAAAAACAAAGATATGGAAGATATTAATAAGTAAGGCTTATTTTTAAAGTATGTATATAATGATATATTGTATTTTTACACAAATGATGTGTACTGTCTATGTCTGTTTGCCAGCTGTGCCCTCCCCCTGCAAGGTATTTTCATAAGCTCTGCTATGCCAATTTTTTTTTTACGTGTTACTGTTTAAAAAATTAGCATAGCGCACTTAGGAAAACATCTCACGGTGGGGGGAGGGGGCACAGGTAGCAAACAAATGTAGAAGGCATGTGTTATTTGGGTAAAAATACACTATATTATAGGTTAATGATATATAATGGAGAATACACTATACTCTAGACATCTTCTCTGGTGTCCATTAAATGTAATATTAAGGCACAAATAAAATCTAAATACTGTTGTTGTTGTTAGATGCCGTCCAGTCAGTTCTAACTCATAGAGACCCTACGTACAAGAGATCAAAACACTGCCCAGTCCTGCTCCATCCTCATAATCATTGTTATGCTTGAGCCCTCTGTTGCAGCCACTGTGTCAGTCCATCTCATTGAGGGTCTTCCTCTTTTTCCCTGACCCTCTACTTTACCAAGCACGATGTCTTCCTCAGAGACTGGTCGCTCCTGATAATATGTCCAAAGTACGTGAGACAAAGTCTCCCCATCCTTGCTTTTAAGGAGCATTCTGGCTGTACTTCTCACAAGACAAATTTGTTCATTCTTTTGGCAGTCCATGGTATATTCAATATTCTTCGCTAAATTAATACTAGCCAAAATTTATTTAACACCTACTATATGCCAAGCTAGAAGTCTGAATCGACTAGACAGCAGTGGGTTTTTTTTTAATATGCCAAGCACTATGCTAATATACATCATCTCATTAATTCGCATTAACACTGTACTGGGACTATTACTATCTTTGTTCTACAAATTAGGAAGTTGAGGCTCAAACAATCTGACTCTGCAACGCATTCTCTTAATGAAAAAGTCTAACACCTTCAGTAATTATAATGATCATGTTCTCTGTTATATTCAATGTCATATTTAATGCAAGACAATTAGAAATGAAAAATAAAAAGCTAAATTAAACTCTCCAACCATCTTCTAAATAAATCTTGGGTCAAAACACATCAAAATTGTAATTACAGGCTATTTAGAAAACAACCATGTCCAAAAATTATAACTTGAAACTACAGTTGAACTCAAATCCATAGCCTAAAATATTTAATTATTAAACAAGAAAGAACTTCAAAAAAATCAATGTTTCCTAAAATGTGGGATATCACGGTATACTGGGCAGCATTTTTCTTTGTAATTACTTGAATGTGAATTTGAAAAATAAATGTAATTACCACTTATACCCCATTATTTTTTTCAGCTATTATTGCTTAGGACAAGAGTAAAGTAGGTAATAAGTTTCAAAAGTAAAGTTGGGAAATACTGTCAATTCAAAAGGAAACAAAATAAACATAAGAAAAATTGAAATAAGGCATAAAAATTTAAGATTAAATCCAAATCTAATTTAATGTGCAAAAATAATAAATAAACAAACAAAAAAATAGCCTTCAGATCAAATCAAGGGAAAAAGAGATACACATATTTAAAGAATGAGAAACGACACATAACCAAAGACAGAGAACATTTTAAGTAGTCTAGAATATTGAAATAACAAAGTTAAAATTCTAGATAAAATGAAAGATTTCTGATGAAAATACAAAATTAGCACATTGACTCAAGAAGCAGAAAACTTGAACATATGAATAATGATGGAAGAAACTCAAAAAGCAATCTAAAAATTACTTTCCATGAAAGTGTCAGGTTTAAATTATTTCATAAACAAAATATTTCAAATCTCAAAAAATCGATAATTCTCATCTGAAGTACAAAAACAAAAAAGAATTATCTATGTGAGATCAAATTGACAACAGCTACTCAAAGGGTTTGATGGGAAGCCTACTGGGCAGTGAGTTGAAGAAAACAGTGACGGAATAATTCGGAAAAGGATAGTGAGAATAGCAGCACAACTGGAAGAACGTAATCGATGTCACTGAATTGTACATGTAGAAATTTTTGAAATGGTGTACCTTTGGCTATGTATATTTTCACCAAAAAAGAAAAAAGGTCCTCCAAGTTCGAGAAGGGAGAGTGTTGATGTGTTGTGGGTGTGTTAACCAATGTCATAAAACAATACGTGTACTGACTGTGTAATGAGAAACTATTTGTTCTGTAAACCTTCACCTACAGTACAATAAAAAAAAAAATTAAAAAAAAGATACTGATAATAAAAGGCAATAATAATGAAAACTAAAAAAAAAAAGGGTAATTCCTACGTCATTCTTTAAAAATCCCAGTACAAAGAAAAGATAGATACCTTCCTGAATAATTTTAACAAAGCTATTATAGCTTTGATAACAAAACCTGAAAAATGGCTGCACATGAAAATAAAAAGAGATCTTCTTACAAATATTAATGTAAACATCCTAAATAAAATACACTGAATCTAGCAATATAGTAAAAGAATA